ATGTTTATCTAACTTGCTACTTGTCCCAACAATGTTTATCTAACTTGCTACTTGTCCCAACAATGTTTATCTAACTTGCTACTTGTCCCAACAATGTTTATCTTGGGTCATTTATTCAGAAGCTGAGGCCCAAGATAAAAACTGTGGGGACAAATAGTATATTACATAACCATAGCCCTAATTCTGTTGAAACAAGTGAAATTATGTACAGTTTGGGCTACCTGTGCTTTGGCCACCAATGGTAACAAAACCCAGTTTCTAGCGTAGTAAATGCACAAACTGTGGGGCTTATGTACAGTGTCCCATGTTCCCCACTTATACATTATCTATAGTTAGGTAATGTGGAGTGCAGCAGGTTATTAAATTTATTCACCTTCAGATGAATATTTAAATTTACAATTATATTCCCCCATCCTATTTCCAGATCCTGGCTGCATTCATTTTGCCTGGCTTGTTTTAATTAATACACTAGGAATTTGTCAAAATAACTAAAAGTCTTCTGTGGATGATAATGAATAACAGGTGTTTTTTATGTTAATAAAGACGTACAGTCCGTCTACACAACATACAAATGAAACTGTTTCTTTTAATAAGCCAACAAAGAAAAAATACGAGTGGAAATAATCAGAAAAAGGCTTTATTGCCATAATACACAAAATATTACATCTTAATAAAAAAATATACAACCACAACCCTATGACTGTTTTTTGAAAACTTAATGATACTGTAGTATATACATCTTACAATCACTCTGTTCACAAGTGGTAAATTGGTCCCTGTTTAACTTATGCATGAGTTTGTTTGTTTTTTTAAGTAGTCATGCCAATGGTAATGGGCCAATGAAATGTACAGTGAAAAAATAAACAAAATAGAAATTTTAACAATTTAAAAAAATAGTTTTTCTTACAAGTCTCTAGACTGATTCAACAACGGTGAGTAATATCAGTTTAAAACTTCTACAAATGGCAATCAAAAGTTTGTCTTTTTTTTTGGATTTATCTAAAAGTTACCAAGTTGTTTGTAACAGCTTTTACACATACAAATAGAGAGAAAAAAAAAGGCATCCTAAAGACTTGAACTTTCGAGTCTACTCTTCAAA